GGCAGCTGGCATGAGCTGGCATGAGCTGGCATGAGCAGCCGTCCAATGGCCGGCGAGCAACTGCCTCATCTGGGATGAGGGCAATGATAATACCAACATGTGCCAGTGAAGCAACGTCCTCCACAACTAGACTGAAGAACAAAAGGACAGCAACTTGTCTGTTCCCCTTCCCCGATTCCCCCCCAAAAAAATCTTTAATAAAAAAGGAAGGTGAACTGCCTAAGGTCATTTGGCAGCTGAGTTTGGCCTTCGCTTTAACTGATGGAGCCCTTGGCTAAGAAAGTCTGCCCCAGGGGCAATTCTGGTTCAATGAGAACCAGGGGTTCAATACACAGATTAATTTAATGAGACACTCTGGAGGGCTTGGTGGCTATAATCTGAGGCTGCCTGTCTCCCTCCCCTATGCTCCTTCTCCCCACCTCCACCTGGAGAACTCTTGGGGGATGGGCACCCAGACAAGGATGAACATGCTGCTGGAAGGGCTGCCGTTCCAGGTGTGACCACCAGGTGGCAGAGCGGCTGCATGGAGCCCTGCCCCCAGCAGCCCCAGGAAAACAGAAAATAGAAATTAGAAATTCCTTGGCCTGGAAGCCGACAGTCAGTTGGAAATTCCGGGAGCCTTCTGTCAAAAGCCGGAGGTTTGACCTTCTGCTCTAAGCAAAACCTAGGGGCGTCCACGACAGGCAAAGGGCAGGGAAGAGGAGAACATTTTTTTAAAGCATACGGAATGAGGAAAGAGAAAGAGAAAAGAATTCTCTCGTGGATGCCTTGAACTTGGCAGCCTCCTCTAGCCCTGCAATTCTGCAAGTGGAGGCCGGGTTCCAATGCAGCAGAATCACCTGGGGGCTTGTGTTAAAATGCGTATTCCCGGGCCCAGCCCAGCCATGTGGCAGAACCCAGGAAACTGCATTTTAGCCAGTGTATATCTGATCCAGGCTCAGGTTGGAAACACCAGCATGGCAACACGTCCTTTTACAGGCCAGACACCAGAAGCCGTAGAGGGGAAGTCACTGCTCAAGGTAATGGTCCCGGGTCCAGGCCTGCCCCTCTGAGGATGGTGTTTGCACATAGGCATGGCACTCCATTCTTTCCATGTAAAATTCAGCCTTTGGGCTGCTCTGGACTAGGACTACGCCCAATTGCTCCTCGCATGGCCTCCTGTGCTTTGGTGTGGATTTGTTCTCTCCCTGCATTTCTCTATTTGCTATTTTAAAATGTATAATGAGTTCCTGCCCAGAGAGGAAGAATAAAGAAGCAGCCTTGGCTTTGAAATCCAGGCCCGGAACCCCAACTCCTCGGCTTCCTGGCTGGGCTCCATCTTGGCTAAGTTCCCCCGGCCCTCTGGGGAGGTTTTGGGAAGCTCAGGGTCCAGACACCCACCCACACCTCACCCACACACCCAGCACTCAGGCTTCTCCCCCCAACTGACTCAGCCTATTCTCTCGCACATCCTGGAAAACGACTTCAGACTCGGGCTGGCCCTCATTCTGACCTAAATCCTGAATTTTAGCCTTTAGCTGGGATTTGGTTCCATGACAAGCTAGAGGTCATGCAGCAGCTAACCAGGGGCATCGGAGAGCACTCAGGCTTTAGAGTCTGGTTTGAATCCCGACTCTGCTGTGTGACCTTGGGCAAGTTGCCTGCCCTCTCTGAGGCTGTTTCCTTGCCTGGAGGAATTAGCACCACCTCTCTCCTGGGCTGCTATGAGGAGTGAATGAGAGCATGCAGGCAGCATGGTCAGCACAGAGCCAAGCACACAGCAAGCTCTTGGTGCCAGGAGCAGCTGTTACTAAGAGGCCTGGTCCAGGTGGGGCGCTGGGGCAGGAGCTGGCTTCACTCCTACCACCAAACTACGCTGGCATCAGACACTGAGTCAGGGAGGCCTGACTTTACTCATTCCCCTGATCTACAGGCCTGCTCAGCTCCAGGGCCCACAGAGGGGCTTCTAAGCAATGCCAGGAAATCGTAGCCATGGTTTCCACCCTGGGGGAGCTTACAATCTAATAAAGGCAACCTGGGGCCTCAGAATAGAAGCTTCCCAAAATAGTGTGTCTGCGAGCTGGTCTCTCAGTGCTGCCTGGCAGGAGGTGCCAGGTAAGGAGGGATTGAGTATAGTCCTGGGCCTTCCTGCCAGCTCTGCCTCTCCACAGCCCCCACCCCTGCCTCCCCCCAGCCTGGCAGGGAGGGCCCTGCCCAGTCCTCATCTCTGTGCTTTGGCAAGATAAACTGAAATTATCCAGCATGGATGAAGGTTAGGCCAACAGTTTCCTGATTTAAAGGGCCACATGTGGAGGGTTCTGAAAGTTTAAGATTTAAGGATGCAATGAGCTGGCCAGTGGGGAGCTGCTGAGAACTTTCTCATAACTGAACCTGCTTTTCTTACCTAAGAGCCCACACTGAGGTTAAACTTTAACAGAGGCAACTGCCCCTTTCATATTTCCTCCAGTAACATCACAGCATTGCATCTTATTATTATTTTTTTAAAGCTACTTGACCTCTCACTCTTGGTGCTGGAGAACCAGGGCACTTCAGACACCCCCACACAGCCTAGGTACAGTGAGCTGTATCCCCCGATGTCCCCTCTCCAGAGTGGTAGGGCGTCCACCCCGTCAGTCCTGGAAGCAGGGTAAAGAGGAGCTTCTTAGAAGCATCTGGGTCATCTCAAGACTGACTCGTCTGATTGCTGGACAGCCGCCCACACCCACCTGGCCAGAGAGGTGAGCAAGGGCAGGTCTGGTGGCCCGGGGTCCTGCGTTTGCTAGTGGTTCCCTGCAGCAGGCCAGACACTCACCGGGTTGCCGACTCCCAAAGAGACTTGCCCTAGGCGCTGACCGTCCTGGCCATGGCGTTCGCTGAGCTCTTGGAGCGAGCTGGGGGCGTGGGCCTCTTCCAGACCCTACAGGTCTTCACTCTCCTCCTCTCCTCCATCTTCGTACCCTTCCAAATACTTGTGGACAACTTCTCGGCCGCCGTGCCCAGCCACCGCTGCTGGGTGCCCCTCCTGGACAACAGCACCGCCCAGGCCAGCGACCCTGGTGCCCTGGGCCCCGAGGCCCTCCTGGCCGTGTCCATCCCACTGGGTCCCAACCAGGAGCCCCACCAGTGTCGCCGCTTCCGCCATCCACAGTGGCAGCTCCTGGACCCCAACACCACGGCCACCAACTGGAGCGAGGCTGCCACGGAGCCGTGTGTGGACGGCTGGGTCTACGACCGCAGCACCTTCACCTCCACCATCGTGGCTGAGGTAAAGGCTTTCCCCCGCCAACCCCACAATTCTCCTTCCTGGCCTCCCAGTGACAGCAGTCTACCCATGGCTGGGGGGTGTCAAGCTGCCTCCATCACCACTATGAAATGATATGCTACTCCCCCAACATGGTGGCCTGGATTCTGGTCTGGAGCTAGGGTTACAGGATTAACAGGGAGACTTCCAGGATCTTATGTTCTGCTGGCAGATTCACAACCAGTCAATATTTAAACCAGTAATGACAGCAGAGCAAGCCTTCACCTTTTGCCTTTTAAGTGGCAGGCAATGTTCCAAATGCCTTCCCAGCAGTCACAATCACACTACAATCTCATGGGGGTGGCTCTTATCATTGTCCCCATTTAATAAAGGACAAAACAGGAGCACAGAGAAGTTAAGTAACTTGTCCTAGGACACACAGCTAAAGCGCACTGGGACATGATTCAACATAGGCAATTAGGGGTCAGAACCTGGGTCTCCATCACTCTCCTGGCCTGTGTGGGGTGTCATAAGTGAGCACAAAGGAGAAAAGCAGGTCCTGTGAGTGGAGAAGGGACAGGCAGATGGGGAAGACCTCTCTGAAGAGGGGACACTTGCGATGAGAGAAGGATTATGAGAGAAGGAATTAGTCACATGAAGGTGGGAGAGAACCCCGTGGGGACAAGGGTTCGAGTGGAAGCACGTCTGGGAGTTGAAGGAGCAGGAGGCGAGGCCCAGTGTGTCTGCGCACTGAACCCCCAAACGTGCGGACCAGAGGCCACAAAGCAGGGGAGTGGGTGAGGGGCTGGATTTTCTTTAAGTGCAAAGCAAAGTCATTAGAGACTGTGGGGGCAGGGAAGTGATGTGATCCGATTTGCATTTTCAAGGGTTCACTTTTCAGGGTGGAGAATGCCCCGTAGGAGAGAGAGGCAGAAATGGGGAGCTTCACTGTCAGGCTTTGGTGAAGGACTGACCTGGTGGGGGTGGGGGTGAGAACGTTCCGGCCCCTGGTCCTGGGCGGGAGGCAATGAGAAACCATGGTGACACGTGCTGGGCCCTCTCTGTTCATCCTCATGGCCTGTGACAGAAGGAACTGTACGGCTCTATTTATGGAGGAGAAAACGGGTTCAGCCAGGTACTGGAACTCACTCAAGTTCACCCAGCCAGTCATCAGCAGAGTTAGAATTCCAGCCTGTGGTTTAATCACCGCCCACTGCTGCCCACCACCGTCCACTCAGAGTGGCCATCACACTGTCAGATGCAGAACCCTGTCACATTCAAGCCATGCTGCTGGCTGCGAGTGGAGAGTGGAGGCCGACGACCAGCACACCCCTTCCACGTCTGTTTCCTGGTCCTCGGGATCTGGGGACCCCATTGTGGGTGTGTTCCGGACTGGGAACTCCCAGCCTGGGCCTCCCTCTGCCACCCTGGCCCCGCAAGTCCATGTGCCCTAAGCCAGGTTGTTGTACCCTCTTTCTCTTCCAGTGGGGCCTGGTGTGTGATAGCCAGAGTCTGAAGCCCATGGGCCAGGCCTTCTTCATGGCCGGGACCCTGCTGGGGTCCTTCACCTGGGGCCTCCTCTCCTACTGGTGAGTACTCCTCCCCTCCCTGCTCCTTCAAGACAGAATGAGCATTGTGAGGACAGAAGTACAGAAATGTCACATGAGTGTCCATGTTCCCTAAGAGAGGGGCCTTTCTTGGTCCGGGGTCTGGACACGAGTCCCAGGTCCCCAGGGGGCAGTGATGGTCAAGAACCAGACTCCAGGTTAAGCTGTACTGTGAGAAACAGCCCCAAACACTGTTGCACTCTGTCCTTCAGCTAGTGCACCAGCCTTTACTGAGTACCTACTGTGTGTCAGAAGCTGCACAGCCCCTGCCCTCAGGGAGCTAACAGTCTTCTGGGGAGAAAAACAGACCTCTGTTTTTTTAAATTCCAAGTACATGACATGCTATGAAATAGAAATACTCCTCTCTCTCCTCCCACCTTCCCCTCCTCCCCTTCCCACCTCCTCCCACTCCTAGAGGCCCTCTTAAGGTGGTGTGCCCAAGAAGTAGTGTAGCCAGGGCTACCCTGGTGCCCTGCCCCTGAGGTGACAGGTGGCTGTAACTCACCTGGAAATTGCCCCCAACAGCTGCTTTGTGCTGGAATGCAGGCCTCAGCTCCAGGCCACTTCCTCAGAGAGGCCTTCCAGGCCACACAAGCTGGAGCCCTTGCCCCAGCCTCGAGCCCTAACGGTCCCATGGCCCTTAGGCCATCCCTCATCACAGCACCTCCCTCTGACAGCACCCACTTGTTCAGTTGCTATGTGTCCCTACTAGATGTAGCTCCAGGGAGGCAGGTGCTCTGGTGCCTTATCCCAGCATCTGCATGTGGTACACACTCAGTTGTCACATCGTGAACAGATGAATGGCTTCCCGACTGTCTGACTTGCTCCAGGAAGGGCAGGCTCTGGGGTCCCAAAGCGGGGTCCCAACCCCTGCCTCGCATGACCTAGATCCCTAGAAGGCAGGTTTGTTGCTGCTCTGTGCCTCAGTTTCCTCCCATACGTGGGGACCCTGGCGCCTACACATGGGGTTGTTGTGATATTTGAGTGATTTAATCGCATACAGAGCTTGGGCCAGGGCCTGGCACAGCTCTTATGCTGTGGTCATTTGTGGGCCTTGGGTCATCCTGAGCGTGGTGGGGAGCTGGAGCAGCAGGGAAGGACGTGGTCCAGTTTGTACTTTCAGAGGGATTGGCTGCCATGCAGTCCTCATGGGCTATCCAAACAGGGAGCCAAATTGTGACAGGTCTGTGGGTGGCCCAGTGAGCCCGGGGTCAGGGCCAGGCGTTGGCCTCCAGACCTCCCCCGGGGTCTGGGCCCAGCATCCTTGTGCCTGGGTGCTGCTCAGACAGGCAGGGCCAAGGTTTGCCCACATCTCAGACCAACATGTACTTAGCTAAATGCAGACCGAAGTTTGGGCTAAGTTGGCCCAGTGCAAGGGTTGGCATAGTGAATATGCAGGTACCGGGCTGAGGGCACCCCCCCCCAACCCCATGTGTTGTCTCCTGGGTGATCCTGTCACCATGCACAGCCGGGGGAGGAGCTGGCTGGCTTGCACAAGTGTGCTCAGCCTCCTTGCTACATTGTCCCCTCGCTCAGTGTCTTGATTTTCACAATCCTATGAGGCATGTCACCCTGAATACCTCCATTTTAGAGATGGGAAAACTGCGGATCAGAGACATTGAGTCATGTGCTCAAGGTTGCCCAGGAAGGGCAGAGCAGGATGCAAACTCAGGCGTCTGATGCCAAAGCCCGTTCTTGACCAGGAGGCTACACCTGCCTGCTGAGAGCAGGATGTCTGCCATTTTTAATGACAAATGCACTCTGCACGTGCCCCTAAGAGTTCTTAGAAGGAGGTGCTGCCTGCACTGAGATGTGAGCACAGTCCGGGGCTCCAGCAGGCACCCCTGCTTTATCGCACCTTCCAGTGGCAAGCAGTTGCCTCTATGCCCAAGTCACCACTGTGCTTGTTTCCCCAAACAGGTTTGGGCGGAAGCCAATGCTGTGCTGGCGCTGCCTGCAGGTGGCTGTGGCCAGCACCAGCACCATCTTTGCCCCCAATTTCCTGATCTATTATGGCCTCCGTGTTTTGAGCGCTTTTGGATTGGCCGGCATCGTCCTGACCACTACGACACTCTGTGAGTCACTCGCTCTCTCAGCCTACCTCCTTCCATGGGGCGGCGGGAAGGGGGGAAGCTAAGGCCATACCTGCATTGCCTTTCAGTGGTGGAGTGGACCACAATCCGCAGGAGGGATTTCACCATGATGATACTGGGATGCACCTACAGCTTGGGCCAGATGGCCCTGGGTGGTCTGGCCTTCACCCTGCGGGACTGGCGAGTCCTCCAGCTGGCCGTGTCAATACCTTTGTTTGCCATCTTCCTGATATCCTGGTCAGTACAGTGTTGGGCCTTTTCCCTTGGGGAGAATGTGACTGAACAGAAAAGGGACTCAGGGTGGGAGGGTACCCCTCACTCCCACTACCCTGGCTGGCCATGGGTCCCACGATGCTGAAAGCCATGGACAGGAGTGATATGAACAGAATCCTTGCTGGAGAGAGACATTCCTGGGATTCAGAGTTCCAGGGTGGGCATCTCGGCCAGAGGTCTGAGGTTCCCATCCAGCCCACTGGCCTCTGGGCTTGCAGCCAAGGACACCGTCCTTCCCTCACATGGGCACCAGCTCCCTCACACTCATCGGCATTACTCTCACATCACTCGTCGGGCCTGTGGGCATCCGAGTCAGTGAGGACCAGCTTCGGATTTGGAAAGACATTGTCATCACTATTATTTTTGGTGCTGCAAAAATCCCTGAGGTCCGGAAATACCTGCTTGGGTAGGGACTGGAGGAAGAGATATTGGGAACCAAAGTCATGTCCCCACAAGTTCTCTTGTGCCATGAGTCAGAGTTGAGCTCACCTAGGTCCAGGTAAGTCTACTGTGGGCTATAAAAAATCAGAAGGCTCACTCATTCCTTATCAAACATTTACTGCACTTGTGCCCCATGCCAGACATGGTTTTAGGCACTGGGGACACATCAGCAAACAAAGCAGACCAAAAGCTATTGACCACGTGGGTTTTATTGTATAAACAGGGTCGGTAAGCAAGGAGGAAGGTAGCCCATAATTACACTAATTAGGCCACCCTGGTCATGCTGATTGGGTGTGTCCAGGATGCTGTTGGTAACACTAGATGTGTATTAACTCGTCTTCTAATGAGAAAGATGATATTATTACCACCATTTTCAGATGAGGGACTGAGGCCTCGAGAGGTTCAGTTGACTTGCCCAAGGCCACACAGCTGGTGAGTGCCAGAGGCAGGATTTGAACCCCGACAGGCTGACCCTTTTAACCACTGCCCGTCTAATTGCCTCTAGAAGTTTTTCTTAGCTTCTCTGCAAACAGGGCTGAGATCATGCGAACTGGGAAAGTTCTGTCTCTTTCATCATGCCTATCTGCTTGGAGGCCAGGAAGAAGCAGAAGAATTCATAAAACCATTTGGTTCTGGCTGGGGATGTTGTGTGTGTGTGTGTGTGTGTGTGTGTGTGTGTGTGTGTGTGTGTCTTTTATTCAACATGATGTGAGCTTTTTGCCATAGAAATAGCCCCAGAATCACCCCCATGCCCAGAAAGCTTGTGTGTTGGCTGTACGTGTTCAGGTGGGCAGGACCCTGGCAGCCGGGAAGCCAGGTGGGGTGGCACAGGGAGGAAGAGGGTGGCCAGGCGTAGGGACTCATCCCAAACCAACATAGATTATGTCTCCCAGCCTGGCATTAGCAGTACAGAGGGGGAAGTGGCTGCCTTCTCCTCACTCCCACTGCAGCTGGAGGGTCTGCTGCCCACCACCCCCTCCCCACCTGACTGGTGGGGGGAGTTGCGGGGGAGGGGCGAGTGCGCAGAATGCACAAAAAAGCGAAGACCCAGCCAAGCACTTGCTTCTTTAACAGGTGGCTGCCAGAGTCTGCACGATGGTTAATTATTACAGGAAAAGCAGACCGAGCACTTCGGGAACTCAGAAAGGTGGCCAGGATAAATGGCCACAAGGAAGTCAAAAAGACGCTGACCATGGAGGTGAGACGCAGCTGCTGGTGACCCAGCGTGTGAGACATGACTGGGGAAGGGCAGCCACTGATGCATTATCAGTATTATCACCAACTTCACCACTACCCACTCCACCACCATCTCCATCAACACCACCAATACCATCGCCATCTCTACCAAATACAGCCACCGTCATCACCATCATATCATCACCATCATTACCGTATCATTACCACTATCACCACCATCATTATCATCATCACCATCACCATCATCGCCACCATTACCATTTGCACTGTACCCACCGTCACCACCACTGTCATGATTTCTACACAAACACCACTACCATCACTACCACCAATAATATCACTAATGTCAACACCATCGCCTTCACCACCATCATTACGATCACCACACCAATAACAACAATGCAACCGTCATCAACAGCACACCCACATCACCACCTCTGTTATTCTCCTTAATCCACATATATTGCACACTCACTCAACTCACGGGGCTTCTCAATGGATTTAGGGAAATAGGATGTTCTTATTTGAAGGTAGCTATTTCAAGGAAGTAGATGTGCCGCCAGAGCCTAGAGGATGCAGAGCTCCCTGGGCAGGAGGATCAGGGAAGGCTTCCAGGAGGAGGCAAGCTACAGCTGAGCAGGACTAAACTAAGCATAGGGCAGGCAGGCCCCAGAGGTACCAGAGGAGGCCGAATGGGCACTTGGGGCATGGTGTGGCTGGAGCGGGCATGCCCTGATGCCAGCCTGAAGGCATGAGGAGGGTTCGTGGGGCTTTGTGTAGTAACTGCCAAGAGGGTCCTGTAGCTTGCAGCTCCAGTGGGCTGGTGCTGGAACACAAGACCCGCTCCTTGGTTCCAAGTAGGAGGGCCAGGTCTGCAGAAGCTCAGCCAAGGGGCAGAGAGAACCCTTTCTGTCCCCATCCCACTCTCCCACCTAAGGCTCTCCAGTCTCTAGAGTCCAAGGCCAGGCTCCCCTATCATTCTGGACACCATTCTCTAGCATGGGGGCGGGGAAAGACCATTGCTCCAACTCTCGCTGTGTTCTTCCCGGAGGTGCTGATGTCCAGCATGGAGGAAGAGGTGGCCTCTGCAAGGGCCCACAAGTCGGTGCTGGAACTGTTTCGCGTGCCTACCCTCCGCTGGAGAAGCTGCTGTCTGTGCGTAACAAGGTATGCCATCCCGATCACCCCTCCTGGACACAGAGCTGCAGAGGGAAGGGGAGTGGTGTGTGTGTAGAGGGGAAGCCCCTGCAGGCCTCCTGGGGTGCATTTCTGGCTTGGACAGGCAGCAACTCCAGGAGGCAGGAGTCCTGGCAGGCCGGGGAGAGGGAGTCTGTGCAGATGTGGCCTGGAGGCTGGCTGGAGGGTAGGGCAAGGCCAGGGTCAGGCTGCAGCGCAGGGCAGAGGCAGAGCCCCGGGCCCTAGAGCTAAAGGCCCACTGTGGCTGGAGAGGACCACTGTGTGGCAGCACTGGACTCACCCCAACAGCCACACTCCCAGAGGGCTGAGTGCGTGGGGCCACCTCCTTACCCCTCTGAGCAACCCCGTGCGATAAGTTCATTTACATCCCCACTTACAGATGGGGAACGTGAAGCCCAGAGGGGCAGGTCACTTGCCCAAGATGACGAGCAGGCATTTGAATCCAGGTTAAGCTGTCTCCTCACCCACACATCTCCTAACAGGCTCCGCATGTAATCCTTGCCCCACCCCAGGAGGCCCTGTTTGACACCCAAAAGCCCCTGGTACCAAGAAAAGACCCCTTAATAAAACAAATGCAGTTAAGTGACTTCCAAAAGAACATACTGAAAAGCGAGGGTCAGGTTTGATTGGGATTTATCTTGAAATAAAACTGAAGATTAGGAAAATGTTTATTTGATGCTGTATTTAACCACATATGGGTTATAATGGCAAACATTTGCTACATCTTAAACAGAGAATGGATCAAATGCTTTTTTTTTTTTTAGCCTAAGTTTCTTTCTGACAAATTAGAAGGAGTGCCTCCTGCCAGGAATGTCCAGGGCCATTTTTTTAACCTCCTTCAAGCCTTCCTCGGTTCTCCCAGGGGCTGCTCAGCATCCTTTGTTATTCAAATCACAGGCTGTGAAGTAGCTAACCTCATGGGTTTTCTTGTCTTCGGCTGTTAATCCAGTTGTTACCAGCTGGGGCTCTAGACCCTCGCATGTCAGCCGCTTGGAGCGCCCACATCACTTTTACAAACTTCAGGAAGCTGCGGCTTCTGCCAGAATTGCAGCTTGACCCTGCAGTTGTTGGCTGGGTAATGACCGATGCTATTGGGCACAGCCATCAGGTGACACTGCAGGGAGGGCTGGGGTGAGAAGCAGGAATGGGCTCGGATTTGAAAAGTGGTCAAAAAGAAGTTCATGTTGTGGCCACTTGTGGATTCAAATTCAATCTCCAAACTGTGGAAATTCAGCTACTGTAAGAGTATCTACTCAGGAGCCTGTGGCAGGGTTTCCCAGGAAGCAGACTGAGATGGACGTCAGTGGGCAGGAAGTTCCTTGGAGAGGGCTCTTGGGGTGGGGAGGGAGCAGGAGGGGGCAGGGGAGAAGTCCTGTGATGCACTCACGGCAAGGCCCCAGCCCACCCCTGGGGACCTGAGAGCTGGGGTGGAGCTTCTGAGTGGCCCCTGTGGCCAGGTCAACCTGTCACGGGGTGCTCTCCCCAGCTTACGGGCAGCATCCCCGGGGGCTGGAGGAATAAGACTTCCCATTCTGAAGGAGGGACAGCCCAGCCCAGCCCAGAACAGAGACGCCATTCTATCATGAAGCCCATTTTTCAAGATGAACAGGCACCCAGAGAGGGGCCAAGGCCTGCCCAGGTTCACGGCTAGTAGAGCAGGGGCCAGGTCTTGGTTCCAGAAACAAAGCCAGAGACCCAGGGGGCAGTTCAGCTTAACACACAGAGCCCCTGTCCACCCTTGGGCGGGCCAAGCCTTCCGCCTGAGTGTGGCCTCTATCCACCGCCCAGACCTGGAATGGATGAGGCCACCGTCCTCCCTGCCCTTTTCTGGGACGGCCTGACCTGCATTTGACAGGCTTCTCTGGCTCTGGCGGTGACAAGCTCAAGATTGGCTGTGTCCTCTGGGGACAGCCTTGGTGAAAGACTGCAGGGGTGCCCTCTCCCTGTGGGGCAGGCACCCGACTTCTGGCTTTGCTCTGCAGTTTCTCCATCATGTTTTCTTACTACGGATTGGTCCTCGACCTGCAGAACCTGGGGAGTGACATCTTCCTCCTCCAGGTCCTCTTCGGAGCAGTGGATTTCCTGGGCCGGGCCGCCAACACCTTCTTGCTGCGGTTCTTTGGCCGCCGTGTGGTCCTGGCCAGTTTCCAGACCTTGACTGGCCTCTCCTTTCTAGCCAACATACTGGTCCCACAAGGTGAGGCCAGGGTAGCGGGAGAGGGTGGCCGAGCTGCTGGCAGCTTGGAGTCCTTGCTTCACCTGCCCACCCCACTTCACTCACCACTCTGGTCTCCTCCCTCTCCCCTAGCCCGAGGGACAGGGGGGGGGGACCATTGTCCCAGGTCTATTCCTGTCACAGCCTTGCCACATCATCTCAGGAACCCAATCTCCCAAATAGCCCCTCCCCATTTTCCTGAGGAAATTGAGGTTCAGAGTGACGAAGTCATGTGCCCAAGATCTCTCAGCTAGCAAGTGACAGGGCCAGGACCTGGACCAGGGCTTGAGGGCCAGAGGCTGGAGCCTGCAGTGGGAAAAGGGCCAGGAAGGTTGAGACAGGCTTAGGCTGCTGGAGTGAGGCGGGAAAGGCACCAAGCCCAATGTGAGTGGTGTTTTCCTCTCAGAAGCAAAAGGCTTTTGTGTGCAGAGAGCCAGGGCGGCGGCCGAGGGCCCGTGTCTTACTCTGTTCTTTCCAAACGAGGCTGCGATGGCTTGGAAAGCCTCTCTATGTCCCTTTTACTGTTCAAGGTGGGAGACCGGGGGCAAGGCAGGGATAGCTGGAGTGTGACCTGGACCTCGGCTCCCTGGTGAGGGATCTTGCCATCCACCCATGACTTTCCATGAATGCCATGGGTCCCCACAGGCAGGCTGAGGGGCAGTGAGAAGGCCTCCGGGTGCCTGGGCACCCCGGCGATACTGCTGCAGGCCTAGGCCCAGCACGACGCTCTCTCTCCTTCATGGGAAAGGGAGTGCCCTCAAGACCCAGGGAGCCCGCACAGCCACGCCATAGGAGGCAGGCTTCCAGTGTAACCCGTAGCTGCCCCCGTGCTCACCTGCCCCAGACCTGGCTGGGTTCTTGCCTTGTACCCCACCCCCCAGCCACCTGCCATGATGTCATCCTGCCCCAGATCCCCACCTGGCCCTGGGAGGCCTGGCACTGCTGGGGACCCGCTTTCAGCCCAAGGAAGCCTTGTGGGAGAACCAAGCCGCTCCACTCCAGGCTGGCTGGGGCCCGTCTCGGGCGGGCCCTATCTTGCCCTTTCCTCTGCCCAGACTTCCAGACCCTGCGTGTGGGCTTCGCTGTACTGGGAAAGGGATGTTTTGGTGTAAGCTTTACCTGCTTTGCTGTCTACAAACCTGAACTTTTCCCAACTTCACTGCGGTAGGCTGGGCTGTCAGACCCGGGGATGGGTGAGAAGGGGCACCCCCGGGAGGGCAAGGAGGGCTGGGCATCCAGGGGTGAAACTGAGCCCATGGTCAGCTTCCTTCTCCCAAAGGCCCTCCTCAGCCGGGGACTCCCAGAACAGCCCCACCCCGAGTCCTACCAGAAGGAAGGGGAACAGGAGGGCCCCAGCGGGCCTCTAGGCCTGTGATTGGAAACCTTTCAGCCACAGAACCCTCTGTTCAGGTGGAATCTCATAGGAACCCTGGTAAGGAAACCAACAGCTCCCCTGGGGTAGTGGGGACCCCCACTTGCTTCCCACTGCCCCTCCCAGTTACCTCCTCAGAGCCTAAGGGCTCCATGGGACACAGATGGAAAACCAGTGGTCTCAAGTTAGACTACCCTCACATTGGGCAGTTAGGTAAACTGAGGCTCAAGGACTCATTATCAAAGGACTTCTTTAATAGAAGAGCAGGACTGGATCCCAGTTCCCCTGAGTCCTAGCCCAGGGCTCTTTCCCTCACTCGTGGCACTCCCTCACTCGTGGCACTCCCTCACTCATTTGTCTATCCTTTCATTGGTTGTTGGGTTTTTTTATGTGCATTTATTGATTTTGTTGCTACTACATAGAAAGCTCAAGCTGGAAACTCAGTGGCCTAGCAGGAGCCCTGAGACAAGCCCCCATTACCTAAGATCAAGGAGAATGGGGTGGGTCCTAGAGCGCTCCCAGGAAAGACACTGGATGCTCCCAGGGAGCAGAGGCCCCCTCTGGATGGGGAGATCTAGGTGGGCTCCATGGAGGAGGCATTAGGGGAGACCTTGAGGAGTGCAACTCCTTTAGCCCATCTTTTCCTCCCCTGGCATCTCCTGACTCAGTCAAATATCCCCCACCCCAATATAATCCCCTCCTCCCAAGTGCCAACTGTGACAAGGGTTTGGGCCATCCCCTCCACCCACAGGATGACGGCAGATGGTTTCCTGCACTCAGTAGGTCAGCTAGGGGCTGTGATGAGCCCTCTGATCAGAATGACCCGCCAGGCCGTGCCCTTGCTGACCCCCCTCGCCTACGGTGTTACCCCCATCGCTTCCAGCCTCATTCTCCTGCTATTCCTCCCAGAGACCCGAGGACTTCCACTCCCTGACACCATCCAGGACCTGGAGAAGCAGTGAGTGACCCCTGGGCTCCTGGGAGTGGGAATGGGCTTCTTCTCATGCCAGGATGTAGCTGGGCAGGGCTGCAGGTGTGGTGGCAGGTCTACCCGCAGCCCTAGGACAGGAGAGCCCAAGGCTCATGTTGATATCCTGGGCAGAGTGGGCAGGAACTGGGCTGGGCTTTGTCATCGTGATGGCTGTAGCAGCTAGAGTGTGCTGAGTTCTCAGTGTTCCTGACACCATGCTCAGGGCAGCGGCACGGAGGGTGGCAAGGTTTGTGTTTCTGAAACCATTTAGTCTTGACAACAACCCTGCCAGGGGGCGACTATTGCTATCCGCATTTACGGAAGCCTCAGAGAGATGAAGTAACTTATTCGAGGTCTCACAGATAGATAGTGACTGTACCTTAGGCAGGAAAATGTAATGGTTATGAGCCCAGCTCTGCAGCCATAGCGCCTGGGACTGAATTCCTACCTACTTGGGCATGTTACTTCTCCCTCCTACCTAAACTGACATGAGAGAGATAGCCTCAACCGTCCTAGTTAAATCTTCCCACAGAGAATTCCAGGCCCAGACACATCCACAGGTGAGTTCTTTCGGACCTCCAGGAACAAATCCCGCTCTCACGTTCTTTGAGACAATAGAAATGAGACCATATTCCTCAACTTTATTTCATAATATAACCAGGATCACCTCTCTGTTTCTGCTTCCTCATTTGTCAAATGGGTGTTAAAAAAATAAACAGCGGAGCTCAAAGAGTTGTCTTGGGTTTAAGTGAGTGATTATATTAAAGCACCAAGGACAGTGCCTGGCCCACTGCACATGCTCTGTAAGTACAGCTGCTGTGTCTGCTTATGGGGAGCCCTCAAGCTGAGCAGAAACCAAAGTCATGATAATAGTAATAATAACAGCTGGTGCTCAGTGAGCCCTTGTTGTTTTATTGTAGCATCTTATTTCATCCAAACAATAACCCCACAAGGTGTCTGTCATGTCCAATTTCACTGTCAAGGCAATGGAGACGCAGAAGTTATGTAATTTGCCTAAGGACACACAGCTGAGAAGCAGGGCTGCTGGCTGGGATTTAATTTACTCTATCACTTAATTCATTTTTGTCGTGTACCTACTATGTTTCAGGCACTGTCCTATGCTTTGGGTACACAGCGGTCAATGAAACCCTAATCTCATAGAGTTCACATTCCCGTAAGACTTGACCCCCAATTCTGCTCTCCAAGCTCCAAACGTGGAGTCATTTCTCCACACATCACTGCTTTCTCTGTCGATTATTCTAGGAGACCAGGAGCAGCCACGGGCAACCGGCGAGAGGCGGTCATTACAGAGACCACTCGGTTCTAGAAGTTCTGCTTGTGTGAAGCCCCACTGGCCAAAGATCCCTATGGAGGGAATTGCCTCATCTCCAGAGGGTGGAAGCCTTGAGGTTTTGGCATGGCAGGGGCCAGGCAGCCATCTGCTGCTCTCCCTACCCTGGTCAGACTCTCCGCCCACCTCAGCCCTACAGGAGCTCACTAGGCTGCCCTCAGGTCCACTTCATTAACAAGATGGGTCCCCTCCCTTCCCTGCCAGTCTCACATCTTCTTATCTTCACTCAGCCCCCCAACCCCCATTTCACAGAACTTGGCTCTGACAGCTTTCTCACCTCCAAACTTCCAGAATAGATCACAGGACACACAAGGGCAGGGTCCAGACAGACCTGGGTTCCAATCCCTTCCCCACCACTTGCAGAGTCCTCATCTGCAAAATCAGAATGATCATGGAAACTACCTTCCAGGGTGGGTGACAGGGCTGATGGGTCTTAGCACAGACCAGAGTCCAACAAATAGAACTGCTAACAGAACGGCCACATACGGGTGTCCAAGTCGTGCCCTGCCCCAAGGCCCCAGCTAAGGAGGCATGTGGGGGCTGAAATCCAGGCAACACTTACCCTAAACAGGGTTTGTGCTCACTCCAAGAAAAGGGTTATTTTAATCGCTTCCTATTTACCCCACTGGTGGTGGAGGGTTTCCTGCCCTGTGGTTACCAAGATAGCCTAACGCACAATACTTGACACTGTACAGATGAGATGGGCTACACTTTATCAGTCACATGTACTCACAGCTGGGGCAGGACAACACCGATTACCATGCAGGGTCATGTAGGGACAGTGTACCACCAAGGGCTGTGGGAGGAGGTTTTGTAGGATCAAGGGGATGGGGTGCCTTCTGGTTACCATGGGAAGATGTGATGGGCTTATTTGAATAATTCCACAGGTTGGCAGGAAACTGAAACACACTTTTTAGGGATAATAAGAACTTAGGGATTGATAAGAAGTGTGGTTTGGCTAAGGGACCTCATCCACAGGAACAGAATGGGGAGGAAAATTCGAAGTCAGGCCATTCGAGACCATCCTGGCTTCACCAGATGTCAAGGAGAACATAAGACTGGGCCTTAATTTTAGGTAGGCCCTATAGCACAGGGACACCTTTTAGTTACTTGTCTGTCTCAAAGGGTCACCTTTTCCTAATTCGTGCAGAGACCCTCCCTGTGCCAGCAACAGTCCAGGCTGTTAAAACTATGGGATTATTAAAGCTGACCACCTATTTTAGACGTGAGGAAACTAAAGCCCAGAGAAGTAAAGTGACATGCTTGGAGTCACATGGTGAACCCTGGCCTGACTCTTTCCAGAATACCAAGCTCCTCCCCTTCACTTACTCCACTCTGTGCCCCAATATCTGCAGCCCTGTCACAAAGTTACACCCTTCCCTGGAGATCCAGATACTTTAGACAACTGCCCACTCTCCTTGGATGACTCAGGGAAACCTCAAGCTTCAGGTAACTCATCCCAAACATCCCAATTCCCTTCTCGCACATTTGATGCACACCAGACCAATCAAACACAGTTCAGATCAACTCCTTGGTCTGCTTAAAACGCTCTTGTGGGGCCGGCCGAGTGACGCGATGGTTAAGAACTGGCTTAGGACGCCAGAGGGCCCCAGTTCAGATCCCACATATGAGGGCCAGTGACACTGCCCTCCACAGCTAAGATGCTGAACAACAGCTCAACCTGGAGCTGG